ACCTTCTGTGAATCTGTGATCAACCAGGAGCATTGAAATGTTAACATGGCATATATTGGCCTTCATGCAATCGTTTAATATAAAAACATATTGCGATGTGAAAGAAATTGCTGTCTACTTCTTCAAAAATAAATTTTGGGATAATATATTGACTTGAACCTATTAAAGTCCTTTGGCTGTGTCAGACTTTACAAGTTGGTATCACAAGTGACAAGGCCTCTCAAAGACATTATCATGACTGTTCATTGATATTGAAAAAATAGTTTAAAGATCAATGCTTGGATGAATCAAGGGACCTCATTTTCAAAACAGACAATAAAAGACCTGGTTTATCTTAATGACAGTTTAAATTATAAATCTGTGAGATTCTAATATACACTCTAATTTTAAAATTGTGTTTAATTAACAGTTTACTCTACAATGAATGGAGTAGGGGTGCACCGGATAGTGATTTTTACTATCCGGCTGGATAGCGAATTTGCCGGATATCTGAAAAAAATCCGACCGGATATTTTATCAATTTGAATACTTAACATACATGTAATAAGGATTTTTCTCATCCATGTATTAGTGCAGAAGATGACACTATTTTTTCAATTTTTGAGTAAATAATCAATTGTGGTTAATTAAAAATCTGTTTTTAACTTTTCCAACGTTCACATGTTTCCGAAAGTTTTTAAGCGATGGGATTTAGTACGGCCTTTTGGCGCCAAAGTCCAAACGCTTTGAATAGTTAATTATTTCAATTAATTATATCAGTGGCTAGCTTTTTCACATGCATCCTTTTTTTGGTTTCTATCTTTTTTGTATTTTTTTATGTTTCAATTAACGGAAATTTAGTACACTTCATGAACAACAAATTATCTGGTATCAAGCTTGTAGGATAGTACGATTTTGTCACTATTCAGCCGCATACTATATCTAGTGCACCCCTAGAAGGGGGAATAATCTGAACATGAGAATTTTCTGTTACTCAAGTTTATGTCACATTTAGCACCAAGCATATTATTGTTACTATTACTTTAGAGGCTGTTTACATTAGCCCGGTTACTTGGACTGGTGACTTTACATGGGAAAATTTCAGCCCAGTTATCCGGGCATCCTTCTCGACTCATGTGAGATCTCGGTTAGGCCTATTTTTGTTATTAAGGGATTTGTATTAAGCTTGGTGCCTAGGTTAGCAGGGCTCATGTAAACAACTCCTTAGTTATTAAGACTTGTTGGCAGAGAACACCCAAAAATGTAAAGAATATTTTAATTTGATTTTAGTTCCATAAATCTGTATTTTTATCCATATTATTATATTATTTATATCCATATTTAATTTGATTTTAGTTCCATCAATCCATATATTTTAGTTCCATAAATTTGAGTTTAGATCCATAAATCTATGAAGATCCACACCTGTCCCACATGTACAAATGCCATGATAACAAGAAGCCGTTTTGTTTCTTCAAGGCCTTTGATCAAACAGAAAACACATTTGGAGGTCTTTATGTTCCAATAAATTGCTTTCTGGACTACAGTACATCATGAAAGATGTATTTTCCTTTTGTCACAATGAGCTTGACTGTTGGAAAAGATGTGATGAATTTCCATTGAAACTTGAACAAAAATGGTTTTTGAGGTTTGAAATTTGAACAGCTTGAAATTTGTCAATCGTGAAATTTTTAATTAACACTAAAAAGAAGAACAAAAAAATTAAAGATAGCACACCTAACCCTAACACCCTTAAAATATATCTTTTATACCAAAGTACATAAGAACTGAACTGTAAGATACAAGACTGGTGTTAAATCTAATGTTAATGGTAATCATACACAGGTCAAACTACTACGATGTTGCTACACAGAGTAAATCTATACACCAGGCAAGCTGAAAAATCAACTTGACCACAGTAAGAATGCAGCCCACTGACTTTGCTCCATCAATTAATTGCTTGATATAGATGTGAACAAATATCTTACTGTTTAATTAAGCAATCAAAGTTATCAAAGTTACAAATTATAAACCAGTTCTGGTGAAAATAGATTCAACTCGCGTAGTTTACTGAGTTTAGTCCAGTACTTTTTTGTTAATTAAAAAAGCCCAAAGATATTTCCTTTCACTGATTAGGTATATAATTGTGTTTAGCAGTACGAATTATAACGATATTTACAAATATATGAATATGCGCCTAAAATTTAAAAAATTCAACCTGGTCGTCCGTCGGGAACGACTTAGGGCACGCCCTTTCGGTCGGACAAAACAAGCCAACTCACCCCGCCCCAATCGTAATACCGAACTTTCGCTCCTGACCGTAAGAGGTAACTTTTCTGCTATTGCGAATAAGTGATTTACTTCGTATGTGACAGAAAATGACAATTATTTATAGACTTTAATTAAACCTTTTACTTCGTGAAGTTTTTTTCTGACGAGATCTATTGAACGCACAATATTGTGTTTGAAAGTCAACACATACGTGAAACACTTGCTCTGAGTCGTTCGTTTAAGTTTAGAGTTGAAACTGGGATTTGGTAAAAAATGGCTGGGAAATAGGATTTAGAAAAACCGTCTCTTCAAGGCCCTCTAAAATGGCTAATTAAATATTATCTTGTTAAGCCAGCATATATCATCTTTGTTCTGGTAAACAGAACGTATGTACAGCACTTTTGTTTTAAATACTAATATTTGATCAACTGAAAAAGCTTGGCTTGTCTTATGGTGAGAGTACATTGTGCATGCAGGCCGCAAAATCGGGATCATTTGATATTTTCCTAAACCAAAATTTGTTGTGCCTATAGCAAATGCCTCACGACATTGTCTCATGTTTTTTGGCTGTTTGCTATTTTCTTGAGCAACTTTTCTACAATTTTACATATTTGCTATCTCGTGGTTTTTGCATGGTAATTTAGGGTAGTGAATGCTGCCTTGGTATAGCATTGTTCCCAAATTTTTAATATTTTAAAGGATAAGAAGGAGAAATATTTCTAATTAATGGACCATTTGCATTATAGATTAAAGTTTGATCTAGACAAAAATTTCATCACAGCTTGAAAGAGTATCACAATATTAGTAATATTCCAAAGTTTCGTTGCGAAATGTTGTAAAATGCGGATATTATAGCCATGCGAAGTTTGCCGTTTTTCAGTCATTTCGTATTACGCACGGGAAATTGACAGACTAATCGGGTGTTGGGGCATCAATTTCCCGTTTGTAATACAAAATTGCAAATTTCGCATGGCTATATTATCCGCATTTTACAACACTTCGCAACGAAACTTTGGAATATTACTAATTTTGTGATGCTCTTTCAAGCTGTGATGAAATTTTTGTCCAGATAAAAATTTAGTCTATAATGCAAATGGTCCATTGGAATCATCCATAATTTATACACTTGAATGTGTCGTACGATAACTCAGCGCTCGAAGTTTCGTATCGAAGAAGGAACAGCCGAACAGGTACGATGGTTAACAAGAATGAGTGTAATAGTTTTGTTTGTGGAAACACCATGTAAATTTATTACTGCAAAGCTTTCGATCCGTAAGCCCGGATCTTCATCAGTGCTAATAATATGTCTATTATATGCATATACAGTGGCGAAGCCAGCCCGACTGTTTACTCCTGCTATGTAAATTTCAATTCATTATCATTATTATTTTCTTTACAAAAGGTAGACTAAACCTATGTAATGCAACTATACCTAAACTATACCTAACTTTATTTATACTGCGTAGCTCTACCAGTGTTATCAGACCATTAACTCGGAAAAGTTAACATAGCAGGAGTAAATAGTCAGGCTAGCTTCGCTACTGTGCATATATGTCTGTCATATTATTAGCACTGATGAAGATCTGGGCTTACGGATCGAAAGCTTTGCAGTAATAAATTTACATGTTGTTTCCACAAACAAAACTATTATATTTTATCGCCATGCAAACATACAAAGACCTTAAAGAATGAGTGTACTTATTGTCATTTGTATTTGTACTTGTACTGCATCACAACGCAGTGCGTAAGTGAACAGATTCCACATGTGAGGTTGTCTTGTATATATTTTTGCCTTCTTTGATAAACAGTGGGACGCACACTCGCACATGTTAAATGTCACCCTCATGTCATTGTCATTGCCCTTTAACCCCTGGTCTAAATCATATGATTGTATGAAGCGGGGCCGTTTTGACCTAGTACCGTATTTCAGTATTTGTAGGCAAATTGATTTGTCTAGATATCACAGCCATACCTGCCATTTTGATCTTTTCCTCGCGTTAGATAAGTTGATAAGTACACGAAACTTCGGGCGCCGAGTTATCATACGGCACATTCAAGTGTATAAATTATGGATGATTCCAACGACCATTCCCCGATTAACCAAAATTTTGAACTCAACAAATCTAGACTTTGAAATTTTCAGTCATTTTAGATTACAAACGGGAGATGGTTACCACTTCTGTGCGTAATACAAATTACAAAATGACTGAAAATTACAAACTTCGCAAAGCTTTATTATCCTATTTATCCGCATTTTACAACATTTTGCAACGAAATTTTGGAATATTACTAATTTTGCCCGGATGCTCTTTCAAGTTGTGATGAAATATTTGTTTAGGCTAGTTAATTTAAGATCAAAATTTTGGAAAAGTGATAACCATTTCCCGTTTGTAATCTAAAATGACTGAAAATTGCAAATTTCGCAAGGCTATATTATCCGCATTTTACAACATTTCGCAACGAAACTTTGGGATATTACTAATTTTGCCATGCTCTTTTATGTTATGGTGGAATTTTGTCTAGACTTGTTGAGATCAAAATTTTGGTTAATTGGGGAATGGTGATTACACATATTTCTTACCCTTATTCTTTAAAATATTAAAGATTTGGGAACAATGCTATACCAAGGCAGCATTCACTACCCTGTGGGTAAACTAGTTTATTAATAAACCTTCCTGTTTCGCTGTTTAGGGGAAAATATTGGTTACGAAGTTTATAAAGAGATCAACGGCGAAGATGAATTTGAAAAAATGATGAAAGAAGCAAATAAGGTAATAAAAAGAAATATTAACATAGAAACATGAAGGTGCACGGTATATTTTCAGGCATAAACTATTCATTTGTTACAATCAGAAAAAAGTTAGAAAGTAAAGGCAGTCCTGGCGTACATTTGTTACAATCAGAAAAAAGTTAGAAAGTAAAGGCAGTCCTGGCGTACATAACAGGCCCAATTTTGAGAGAAAGGCGACTAAGTGCTGGAGGGAGAGGAACGCAAACGAGAACATATTGGGCTTGCATCATTATTGTTATTTTGCGAAATTCTGTTTGTCAGCGAACGGAGTTATTTAATTGCTTTTTCAGGTGTCAACCACATCATTTTCCTTGTTATTAAGTGTAAATGTACAATAATAGGAAAGTCATGCAAGGGCGTGGTATTGTTTCTATCTGCTGTTTTAGTTTTCATGACATAAAAGTAAAATATTATTAAATCTGGTCGTATTACTATGAAAAAGCGCACAATACCTGCAAGCCTCACTACTTCTAAACGAGAGGACCAAATTCAGTTCGTAGGCTTACGTGTGAGTATAGTCAGAAAATTTGATGAATCAGTTGAAAAACGCTCCAAACGCACGTGGCAAAATAGTTCAGAATATTAAAAAAATTCAGACAAAACCAACGCCAACGAAATACACGATCGCAAACTCGAGACGTTAGTTTCAAGTATATAATTTCAACAAAAGTCTTTAACGTGTAAAACGCACAGTAACCGTGGACATAAACGTGAAACGTGGTTCGAAGATGTTTTCCCTGTCGCTTTTTATCGTCTATTCTTTTACCATAAATATCCTCTAAAAGATGTAGCAGTGTCCTCTGTGTTTGAATTATAAAACTATACTGACTCGTGCACTGGTTTGCGTGTCATGATGTACACTTGTCATATTAAACCAATTATGAGATAAAATAAAGGCTGATTATCTATACCAACAAATGTTTGACTGCTCTGTGATCATTAACAGATGCAAGTGTCATTCACAATAATGCCTCTACTAACCTTAACGTCTTAATTTAGCTTTCCGACCTAACATACCGGCCCTTAAATGCGAAACTATTTATGTGAAGCATTTCCCAAACATAAATGGATCGAAAAGTAAAATTATCTATTAATAAATCTATAACATGCAAATATGTTCATGCAATATCAAACCGTTCACTTGGTTCTTCCTTCTCTTTTCACATGTTCCACTATCTCCAACAGGACTATTTTCGCCACCGGTCGGTCCAAGATTGTAGACTTCGTTCTCACCGAGACACTTCGCCGAACTTATCCTTACTGTTGCGGTGAACGTCGACTATCCTACCCAACGGCCAGCTGCAACGAGGCGAGCTTTCGTTAACGAGAAGCACTATATCTCCGGCGGGAAAGTTCCTTCGAGTGTTGGTCCATTTCTGTCGTCCTTGCAGACGTGGTAGATACAGTACACCGTACCTTTTCACATGACTTCTACCACGTTTCACTGTGAAAGGCCCAAAACAATCTACGCCTACGTTAATGAAAGGTGGTTTTCCAGGCGTGACACGATCTTCCGGAAGATCTGCCATCTTTTGCTCGCCCACATGTACAGGTGCACGTCTCGTCTTACAATCATGACAGCGTCCTAGTACGCTCTTGATTGCGACGCGAGCGCCAACAATCCAGTATCTTTCTCTTAATAATGCTAGAACGTGCTCCAAACCAGAATGGGCAGAAATGTCGTGATTAATTTCACGATATGATGCCTTTTTGGTAATATCATAGGATTCCTCGCTTCATCTGAGAGTGCTGAGTTTCGCAAACGTCCTCCAACGCATAAAACGTCATTCTTCAAAATCGGGTCAAGCTTGTAGATTGGACTTGATGGAATAGTTGGAATCGATTAGTTGAAATCTCAATGGGGAAGCTTTGTTGTTGTACAACTTTGACGATTTTGCGTTCCGCTTCTTGCATATCCCTTTAACAGTCATCGGCTAAATCTCTGTGTGTTTCGGTACAGGCTCCCCTCGAGAACGTCTTTCGCGAGCTTTACGTAATGCCGACCTGTAACGCAGTAGCCAGGCAACAAACCTTTTCAAACGGTACCAGGAGGAAAATCTGGCAAATATTTCACTCATATTGTAAATGGCGGCGGGATTAGTTGTGACTGCCAGAGATTTGCATTTCTTTACTTCTGGATCGTCCTCTTTAACTTTGGAAGCATCGCCCATCTCCAGTTTCGGCCAGCAGTCTTTTGTTTTCCATAAGAACTCTGGTCCATCCAGCCAACGTTTGTTCTTCAGCAGATTCTCTATTTCCAGTCCACTCGACGCGTCGTCAGCAGGGTTAGATTTCGTATCAACGTAGTTCCATTGAAACGGTGATGATGCATCGTGAATTGTAGACACGCGATTTGCAACGAAAGTGTGGAACCTCTTGTCTTCATTCGAAACATAACTTAGTACACACGTACTGTCCGTCCAGAAGAACGAATCATTGATTGGAGTATCGATCTCTTACCTAATCGTCTTGTCTAACTTCGTTGCCAAGACAGCTGCCGACAATTCCAACCGTGGAATTGTAACTGATTTCAACGGGGCCAACCTTGATTTGCCCATCACAAACGCGCAGTGAACTTCTTCTTTCGCGGCGATCATTCGTAAATACGAAATAGCAGCGTAGCCATGCTGAGAAGCATCAGAGAAAAGGTGTAACTCGGATGAATCTACTTCGCTGAATCCAGGCGGCTTAAAACAGCGTTTAACTTTGAGACCTTCCAATTTAGGCAAGTCTTTCAACAGCACCGAATTTTCAAGAGTTCATAATAGCAAAGGATGTAAGGCTTCACACTACAGAATTTCTATAAGAAATTTTGGTATAGCTTCATTTATAAGTCAGTCTATATTCTATACAAACGATGAATTTCCGTTGCATGTTTATACTTACTACAAATTTCAAATTATTCCACGCATGATTTTCCGAAAACTAATAGTACTAGTCTTCAAGTTTACCGACAATTTCCAAAATTTGTTTAAAGAATTATTTGCATACCATATAATGTATTTAATTATGTTCATAACAAAATAACGCTCAATCATACTTTACAAGTATAGTATTTCGAAATCTATATATGCTGTAGCCAGTGACACTTGCGCTCAGTGGAGCGTCTTGTTTGCTAAGTTTCTCCATGTTGGACTCCTCCTGCCTCAACAAGCTGCTTATTAACAGCCAATTCGCAAGTGTTAAGACATGTACTTCAAAATGTAATCCGCCTTTATTCCTATTATTGTAGGTTCCACCGAGAAGTATTTTTGATGGAGTTAAATTGAATCTCCTGCCTCAACAAGCTGCTTATTAACAACCAATTCGCAAGTGTTAAGACATGTACTTGAAAATGTAATCCGCCTTTATTCCTGTTATTGTAGGTTCCACCAAGAAGTATTTTTGATGGAGTTAAATTGAGTCTAGAAAAACAGAAGATCAAAATGCTTTTCGGTGCCGCAGTACTGTACACTGGGCGACGACCAACACACGCTACTGGCGTCGCCGCACGAGGAGTCGCAACGGTCGTACCTGAGCCACAATTTCCAGCATGTGAGTTCTTTACTCCAGGAAAATCATTCCCTGTGTGCCTCCGTCATTCAACTCTTAAATCCAAAGATGACGCCATGTTGGATTTTCTAAGTGCTTCAATACGATTTGCTGATAGTGACGAGGAAAGTTTATTAGACATTCTAATGTCGACAGGAAGAGGTAATCCATTGTCCAATGTGAAGGGTATTTACGATGCTCTTGCAGCTAACTGGAGTGGCAACTTGAAAGATTATTATCTTGATAGCCCAGATCGGTAAGAACGAACAGGAGTTTCTACATATTGAGAACATTTCCAATAGATTTTTGATATGCTAGCTTCTCACTATTCCTGATATGCTAGCCTTTCTGCAGAGTCCACTCGGCCCAGTTTTTTACACGATTGATGTAGTGCTGAGATTTCGAAAATACCATACATGTAAGAAAAATTTTGTTTTTTATTTTCCATTTAATAAAATCACTTTGATGATTGCGTTATAAACTTAAACGGTTTATTTTAATGAATTATTTATGTATTTGAAACCTTTGTCAACAGGGGCAATAGAGATATTTTGAAATATTGCGTGACATTTATGTTTTGTTTTGTCACTCTTTGTCATTTATAAAAAAAACAATATTGCGCTATGTTGCTTCCTTCCCACTCAAATATCGCGGAAATATTTAGGAATAAATTTCAATAAGAAAGATATTTGCTAAAATTGCTTGAAAAATGTTGGGATGCCAGCCAGCTCAGGTCTCCTGAACTACAAACAAGGGGACTTGACCCCCACATAGCCTCCTTCTTCTAGGCTACACCCCTGATTAAACAGCCCAATCAGTTTCGACAGTTGACCTTCTTCTCAAATTATTCTATTTCTTAATTTTTCATTGTTTTAACAATGAAAACAAAAAGAAAAGTATATAAGTATTAAAATACTTAATATACTATATATATTCCAGTTTCTAAGTGCAAAAGCTACTATATAAATAAATTTATTTTCTCTACAACATCAGACTTGCCAGCAATATTGATGGTTTACGTCGAGCGCCAGATTCCTTTTTTGATCAGCGATATTACTCTGAAATTATTGTGGGATTTAGAGCGTTGGATTCTATGAAACGTTACGCCAGATTTCGATTGATGCCGGCCGATGGATCTATAGAAACGGGGTTGCTGAGCGAAGAAGACCAAAGACATATTTGGTATAACTTTATATTGATAATTCTAACTAGTATCCCACATGACTACACAATTAGAGTGGATGAGGCGTATTACTTTGTTTTTTGGGGCATAAGACAAGTGGGATAAGAAGAGGGTTGGGTGGCATGAGGCCCGGTTGAATTTGTCATAGAAAATTACAAAAGGGCAGCTCAGGCGTTATTTCCGACTTGGGGCGCAAAATGGCCCAGTATATATCAGTACGCAGGGCATCACGGCAGTGTCCCTTCCAAAGCATTTATTTTCAAATGTTTTTTTATTTGGTTGTAGGAGAAATGAGCGACTGTCTTCAGAAACCAGAGCGAAAGACTATTTGAAGCAAGAATTCAAACAAAGAATTTCTCGTGGAGCAGTGAAATACAAACTGCAGATGACTCTACACGAAGTGCAATTAGATGATCCAGCAAGTATTCTCAACATCGCGAGGTATTGGGACGAAACAACTCATGCTTGGTTGGACGTAGCTGACGTAAAATTAACAACTCTTCTTTCTCCGGGTGTTACCGCTGGATTGCTGTTTAATCCCGGCACTCTACCAAATTCTCTCTGCTTCTTACCAGCCCGGTCTATTCAGGATTCCAACTGCATTGCCCACATAAGACAAGATGTGTACGAATTCACGCAGAAAATTCGAGCAGCTCGAAGTTCGAATATCCAACCACATCATATGGCCACATATATCATTCGCATGGAGGCAAAACTCAGAGCAGGAAGTAATTCTAACATCACTATATCCCTCACAGGTATGCATCTTTTACATTTATTCCGTGCAAGACCAAATTAATGTAGCCGATATATAAGTAACTGATGTAACATAACCATATGGAGATCGACGATAGTGCTCGACCAATAATACCAAGATTATATCAAAACCAGAAGCAAATGAGCAAAAACCTGATTATAAAAAAAGAAGGAAAGACGGGATCGGAAGCAGTCTTGCTTTGAAGAAGCTCGAGAAAAAAAGTGTATAAAAATTATGAGAGAGTAAACTAAATGTAACTTTATCTTGTCACAAAAAATCGATGAAATTTCTGAGCTTATATCTTGAGCCGTTTCCTTATACTAAACCTTTTTCTTTTCCTGTAGTTATTCCTATTATTTGGGCAGGCATTTTTCCTGCCATTTTGGTAGACTCGCATAATGCGCTTTACGTTTCTTTGTATTTGGAGATAAAATTATTTTGTTCTTAATGAGAAAAATTGTGTGAAGTGCATATGTTTTTCTTAAAATTAAAGCGAATAAAGTGAGAAAGTGTAGGGGAGGTGGGCATTATAATATTTTGTAGAGGGTCCTGAAGAGGTAAAATTGGAACTGGGATTTGCTTATTTTTGGACTGAGTAATCGGATTTCTGTTACTGTGATTGAAAATTGCTGACAAAGAAATGAGAAAACCAATATACTATAATTTCTAAATAATTGACAGTTGTAGTTGGACATTTCAGGATTTAAATCAGCTTCAAGGAAAGCTACGTAGCAACTTTTGATTGAGAGTTCGTCTGAATATAAACACCCCCTTTGCGAGTCAGTAATCGATTCACTTAGTTGTGCGACAGAAAAACAGTCAAGCTAAACCTTTTACTTTGTGAAGCTATTTCTGCAGATAGCTAAATTTTACTTTTATGGGTTACCTGCAAACAGGTAGTTTATAACTCGAGTTTTGAGTATTCAACTTGGCGGCTCAACTGGGCAAAAAACATATGGCTAGAATATTACAAAATTTGGCTTGTTAGTGATGGTTTACTACTTCGAATCCCATTCGATCAGATTTTATTGGCAAAAACAATTCATTTAGAAGGTTTTGGATGCAAACTGAACAGGTTGTGTCAAATTAATATGAAAATATCGGTTGCTGAAGTTTTTATGAATTTGGTTATTTGGTCAGTTCGAGTGCTTTGTTGCCGAAAATATTTGGAGGTTTTATCGGTTTAGTTTCTCCTTACGGACACGTTGCACCTTTTTAAGTTAACCTTTGTAAAAACGAGATTAAGAGATATATATGTTATTTACCGGCTGCGAAGTCCAGGTGAGAAAAACTGTGCACGAGCATAGGCAGCCCAAAACGGCGTGTAGAATGCACCAAACGCTTCCAAAAACCAATTTATATTAAGCTTGCCCCATTCCTCTGTTATTTGTCGCGCGCCGCAAGCACTCAATGAAAAGCATTGTTCATATATATGTCTCAACTGACGAATATACGACTTCGGCAAAACGCAAAATACTTCGCACACGTAAATAAAACATGATTGAAAAAATTATACCACATTGAATTGATAATTTTTCTATATACCGGCACATAAATTTTGTTTTCAAGACTGCAAGAAAGCTGAAAAATTTGCACAAACATTTCATGGTCTGACGAAAATTTTGTTGTCTCCATGCGGGATGCTAGAGGTTATTTCATTCGTCATATTTTCAAAAAAATTATGTGATTCAATTGGTTGAACAAGTAAACAGTTTGTGACGTATTCATAGTAAAAATTTGATTTCAGAGGGGCTTGAACTACAACAGGAAGACTGTTAAAATACAAGAACGAGTTTTTTTCGAAGATGAAATGGTTGATTTTAACTACTTTTTATATCCATCCATAACTTTTACCTACAGCAAAACAACCAGGCAACTTTTGCTACATGTATACGTAATGTCATAAAATTCTGAGCAATAATGGCGAAGAAAATTTGTAAACAAGACGGCGATATGTTGACACGCTTCGCTGTGAACCTCAGAAAAGTTATAGGTATGAATTTATTTTATAGCGTTTTTAATGCACCTATGAATGTTATGCCCCCAGAGAGGGAGAGGCCGGGCGTATACCCTCGGGATTTGCACGAAATTTCTTGCCCCAAGTGGGGGATATTTACCATTTTTCAAACCCGAGGGTTGAGACATTTGACAAATCTTAAACCACGTGTTTAAGTCGCGTGACTACCGCTGACCAGTAATTCCTTGGATGAGCTTGGGCAACCACATAAAAAGCAAGCAGAATGGCGAGCGAAACGAGTAGAAATAGAATTGTAACAGAATTTTTGAAAGTTTTGAAGGAGAAAAACTTGAATGTTGTTGAAACATTCATTGGTCCTAAATAAAATTCAACAGTCCAAAATCATTCAACAGTTCTAAATAAAATAATCTTTTTAATGATTTTAAACAACGTTGCTGCTCTATTTTCAACAGAATTTGTTGAGTTTGTTTATTATGTTCTATTTTATACTGTGGGGATTTGGTACCCATGGTGGGGAATATTTCAATATTCGCCTGTACTTTGTTGCCCCATATTAGGGCATTAGCTCAAAATTCTCTTCAAAAAGTTTAATCCCCATCTATATCCCGGCCTCCCCCCCCTGGGGGATTTACATTGATAGGTGCATAATACTGTAACTTGGAACAATAGTTTGGATAATTTATTTTTCCCTAGTGATCAAGTATTCAGTATTAAGTAGGTGTTTGTACTGGATCTCTAGTCAGTAGTTTTAAATAGCTATATAGCAAGAATATTTCGACGTGAATTCTGTAAAACTGTTTTTATATCACTATAAAACAGTTTTTTATATCAAAACAAATTTACATTTTGCCCCTGTTTTATTTAATATCAGTAAGACAGTATTCTCAGTAATATATACAGACACTACTTTTTGTTAAAATCTAACATGTACTTTAAAGTTTAAACTAGGGAGATGTTTAG